GTTGTCGTTGTTGTTGTTGTTGTTGTTGTTGTTGTTGTTGTTGTTGTTGTTGTTGTTGTTGTTGTTGTTGTTGTTGTTGTTGTTGTTGTTGTCGTCGTTGTCGTCGTATAGCCTCTTGTGGATCGACGTTTTCCCTAACTTCATGGATAAACTGAGAGTCGTTCGTATACTTTCAGATTAAACACAGTAACATTTTCGGATGACTCGAATCTTATCTGTGGTGGTTTTGAGAACAGTTCACTTCGCATTTGGACTCTCACACCCAGGAAATTACGTGCTCTGAAACCAGCGGTTGAATTGGCCCGCATTGATAAAGATGCAGGTATGAAAATGAAATTTCTGAATGGAATTTGATACCATTGAATGAAATGAATGGGTGTGAAAAAGGGCTTTCGCCTCCCATCCCACTTCACCAAAACCCCACCCCCGAAAAATTTTGTTTCTATGAAATAGCGTTTCCCACACTCACATATCACTTTGAGCGAAGATATAACGGTTTTAAAACAGGTTTTTAATGGTGTGTTGAAGAGTATACAACGGATCAAGTACTTTCTTCTTTTTACAGAATTCACCCCCCCCCCCAATAAAACCCCCTGAAATTTTTTTTGGGGGGGGAGCTCCCACCCAAGTCTCAAAACCTAAAATACCCCTGCAAGAGTTTTGACTTAATATTTTTGAATGTGTTTTTTATTGCAGAAGATGTTTTTGAACGTATATTAGATGATAAAACTGCAGCGGAATCCAAGACATTGATTGGTCATAGCGGTCCTGTTTATGGCGCAAGTTTTAACTATGACAACTCACTTCTACTCACCTCCTCTGAAGATAAAACTGTCAGATTATGGAGTTTGTTCACGTATACGAATATTGTGTGCTATAAAGGCCATAACTATCCCGTGTGGGATGTTCAGTTTAGGTACGTCGTTACATTGTGACAACTAACTATAGTTACATTGGATAACGCGACTGTCATTTTTGAACTGTTCTATCTAAGGGCCTTCTCTTATCAGTCCAGTGTTACTACAGGAGGAGACCTAAACTAAACTAACTTTATTTATACTGGATAGTTTTATCAGTTCTAAACTATTCTCTCTAGAGGTCCATAAAGGGTTATCTCTTATTGATCCAGTGTTACTACAGAAGGAAACCTAAACTAAACTAACTTTATTTATACTGGATAGCTCTATCAGTTCTAAACTGTTCTCCCTAGAGGTCCAGTGTGGATCATCTCTTATTGATCCAGTGTTACTACAGGAGGAAACCTAAACTAAACTAACTTTATTTATACTGGATAGCTCTGTCAGTTCTAAACTATTCTCACTAGAGGTCCAGTGTGGATCATCTCTTATTGATCCAGTGTTACTACAGGAGAAAACCTAAACTAAACTAACTTTATTTATACTGGATAGCTCTGTCAGTTCTAAACTGTTCTCACTAGAGGTCCAGTGTGGATCATCTCTTATTGATCCAGTGTTACTACAGGAGGCGACCTAAACTAAACTAACTTTATTATGGATAACTCTATCAGTTCTAAACTGTTCTTCCTCCAATAGATCTTACGGAATGGCTTGTGCATGAGTCTTTCAGTTTAGGTCTCGCCCTGTAGTAACACTGGACTGATAAGAGATGATCCTTACTGCACCTCTAGAGAAAACAGTTTAGAACTGATAGAACTATCCAGTATAAATAAATTTAGTTTAGTTTAGGTCTCCTCCTGTAGTAACACTGGATCAATAAGAGATGACTCTTACTGGACCTCTAATATGAAAAATGTTTCAGGGTGATTCTGTAAGTACAGTGTAACTATGTGACATGTTTATTTGTAGTCCTAAAGGTCTTTACTTTGCATCGTGTTCTCACGACCGCACAGCAAGATTATGGACTACAGAGAACCCTCATCCACTACGAATATTTGCTGGACATTTTTCTGATGTAAATGTAAGTGTCACGTGGTTTAAACATCTGCTGTATAGTTGTTTAACAGCAGAGTATATTCTTCTAACCCAAGCAATAAAGCCAGCCATAGCAGCAGTTGTAGTAAATCTTTTTTCTTTGCACTAGACATTACGGTTTCATCCGAATTGCAACTACGTTGCGACAGGATCATGTGACAGGACGGTTAGATTATGGGATATAACCTCTGGCCAGTGTGTTCGTGTGTTCACTGGACACAAAGTAAGGCTACTTTTATCATTATGGTTTCCTAAACTCTTGCTAGTCTGGTCTTTTCCATCTTAAATCCTCCGGCTATCAATGTAAAATTCTGACTATACTGACTATATTTTTTGCACTTTATAGTTCAATCAGTTCTAAACTGTTCTCCCTAGAATAAGTTCAGTAAACATTGTTGCGGAAACATTGTTTCCTGCCAATGTTTCGCCATGTTTCCCAGAGTGGGCAAACACTAGGGAACATTAGTAAGAAACATAGGGAAACATAGGGAAGAACATATGAAGAAACACCGATAATCACAAATATTTCCACAACAATGTTTCCTAGTTTGCCCAGGGCTTAAGAGTTTTTAGCGTAGTGTTACAACAGAAGACTACCAGCTCCTGTGGTGTTTTGTAGAGTCAAACTGGAAGCACTCTTCTAACATGCGACTGAGGTGAAATTAAAATTAGGTACCCAGTCACATATTTGAAAGACACATACACTGTTACAATGTGCCATCAAGACTCGACTGAAAAGCCTCTGTAACGGTTCAATATTTTCAAAATTTAGGGCGCAGTTCATTCCTTAGATTTCACTCCAGATGGGCGATATTTGGCTTCTGCAGGTACGCATTCCCGTCTTTATTTATCGGTCGACGGATTCGAGGAGCACGAGTTCTTTAACGTAGATTAGCGCGGAGAACACAAGTTATACATGAAACCTCGTTGTCATTCATCGCAGGCGTGAACTCGCCAGCTTGTTGTAGTAATATATCACTTGCGAGTTGGTTTCTTGGATGAGTGAAAGAAGAGCCTTAACATTTTCTTTGTCGTCCTTCAGGTGTTGATAAGAAAATAATCCTTTGGGATATTCCCGAAGCTCGTCCTGCAGCGGAATTTCCTGGACATACAGATACAATCCACTCGTTGAGGTTCAGCAGAGATGGTCATATTTTAGCCTCAGGTCTGTATATATACGATTACGATTAGCATTTCTACAGCACAAATTTCCATGTGGGTATGATCAAATGCGGTTTATATCAAGTATTCCCCTTACCAAATTACGCACTTAGCCCAGACTATTTTATCTTTGACAATAATTGTGATATTACTTTCTTAACTGTGTTTATCCTAACCCACCCTGTCAACTTTCTCTGTGGGAGGAAACCAGAGCACCCGGAGAAAACCACGACTTTCGGCAGAGCGTTGACTCACTCTTTTCACATGAGTCCGTAGCGAGAATCAAACCCACGAACTCAAGTGAAAGGTGTCTTCAGCTCAAGTTGGTACTTATTACTGTTTCCTCTTCTTTCTCATGAAGGCGGCTCTGACTGTTGTGTAAAACTATGGAGTGCTCAAAATGCTTGTAACAAAGATGACGATGATGATCTGATGTTAGGGTAAGTTGAGGATATGGAGGGTTGCAAGGCATCACAAATTCCATTCCTGCTCAGTGGACCACTCGAGAAACGTGTAGTGTTTCCATGGTCAAGCTGGAAGCGCTCTTCGTGTATGGATTAAGGTGAAATTATGATCAGACAACTGCGAAACAGGAATCGAAGGCTGGTCAGAGAGGTTATAAAGGCGCATGCATTAAGCAACCAACACCTTAATTATTTTCTGTCATCTTTAGGATGGATCACTCGGGTCGCAGAAGGCAGATGACGGAGTTAGCGTCCTTTCCAACTAAAGTTACTCCAGTACATTGTCTACATTTCACGTGGAGGAACCTCCTATTATCTGCTGGTCCATTTGATCGCTAAGGTAACTTAAGGTCTGCAATCATACTCTGTTCCATTTGGTCGCTAAGGTGACTTAATTTCTGCAATCATACTCTTTTCCATTTGGTCGCTAAGGTGACTTAATTTCTGCAATCATACTCTGTTCCATTTGGTCGCTAAGGTGACTTAATTTCTGCAATCATACTCTGTTCCATTTGGTCGCTAAGGTGACTTAATTTCTGCAATCATACTCTGTTCCATTTGATCGCTAAGGTAACTTAATGTCTTCAATCATACTCTGTTCCATTTGATCGTTAAGCAATCATACTCTGTTCCATTTGATCGCTAAGGTAACCTAATGTCTGCAATCATACTCTGTTCCATTTGATCGTTAAGCAATCATACTCTGTTCTATTTGATTGCTAAGGTAACTTAATGTCTGCAATCATGTGCATACTCTGTTCCATTTAAGCCATCAAAGTTTCTTAAACTATCATAGATTCATAGTTTCTGTTACCACATGCAGTAGGGATTTTGCATCGGCAAACTAAATCCTAAGTTTTGAAGGATTTGTAAGAAATGTTTTTCTTACAAAGCCTATAAAACTTAAAATTTATTTATGCAAAATTCGTATTGTGATCACAGAAACTTTGATAGTTTCAACCAGGCGTTAATTTCTGCAATTTTACGTCCGCAATCAGATCTGCTCTATCTAGTGCATTTGATTGCTGGGATATAGCTTGTGTACATTACTTTGCATGAAGGTGAATCTTGGAACGATTAGAAGATATCAACTCTTAACTATTGCTTCTCTCTCAATGTACACCTAAATATATGTTTCTTATTTTAGAGTGTTTGTCATTGTAAGTCGTGTGGTAGTGAAGAGAGCCGATCCACTGAATTTGATAACTCAAGGAACATGTGAAGGTAAATTTACATGAAGGTGGAAGGAAGGTATCCGTCTATGCAATACACTCTCATGTATTGCAGTTGACGCCAGATAATATATACTGTATACATCATTCTACGTCATCGTGCAGCGAATTGCATGAGACATGCGACATATAGTATCATACGAACGGTGAGGCAAGTGTCACTAAAGTCTGGTCTATACTATCAAAGTTTCTGTGATTACAGTAGGAATTTTGCATCGGTAAATTCTACTTTTTGAAGGATTTGTAAGAGACGCTTGGAAGAACTGATTCAGTGTTAAACACTAAGTCAGCTCCCTCAAACATTTCTTACAAATTCTTCAAATTTTACCAATGTAAAATTCCTACTGTGATCACAGAAACTTTGATAGTGTAAAATAACACGAATTCGTCCCGGGGTGTCGTATGTGAACCACGAAACCGCGAGCTGATATTATGGAGACAAGTATATCGCACCCTCATGCAAGACCGGTTTCATTGAACAAAGTTCGGTTTTGAAAGTTTGACAGAAGAAAATCCCAATCAAACTATCCCAATGTCGTCCAAATGTGCATTGTTCGACCAACAATGTTGCATGAAAATTCTGATCATAACTTTGCCCTAACTTGCATGTACGTTATTGTGGGGCAGTCTGTAGACATTTTTATGGAACTCCGAAATGACTTGTATAAAAATAATTCTATGTCGAACAGCCCTAAGACAGCTGTTCTCATCTTATTTAAGGATATGACAACAATGTAAATTAATACATTAATTCGTAATGGATATACGTGGCAATTAGCGTTTAGAAAAATTACTGTTTTCTGTTCTCAAATAATAACGGCGTTGTTGACCAAACGATGCTTGTTTTACGATATATTTTCCCGTGGCACATGTGTTTGTGTCGTTAACACGGCGCGACAGAAGAAAAAGCACGTGCTTTGGGTAAATATGTTTGTCAAACACTTTAGAGGTCGCTAATGAATAAATGGAAACTAATTTATCACAAGGATTATGCATGTGCATGCGTGCATCGTTCTATAAATGGACTCGTTACTTTCTTGGGGCCGGCTGTTCAAAACTAGATTAGTGCTAACTCTGGGTTCAAAGTTAACCTGCTGTTTTAGTTTGTGTATTTCTACATGTCTGTTTATCTCAAAACTTCACAGAAGAAAATTCCTATCGATGCAGGCAAGATCTCTAAAGAAATATTTCCAAATTTATAGACAAGCTGTCAGGAAGTTTGCTTTGAATTTTATGTTAAGCTAGGGTTAAAGCCAAACACCCGCGTCCTGCTGTTATATCATTACTACTTCTGAATTAGTCTTTCTCACGAAGGCCAAAGTCCGCCATTTTGGGGGTACTGTCTTCCCTCGTGAAAGATTCTAGACAATTCGGACAACGTGAAAAGCGACGTTTAAAAGTTGTAACTGTAAATTTACCATTATACAAACAACTGTAATACTAAAAAGTCGCGTTTCGTGGTGCGGAGACTCTCAAAGGTGGGAGAGACAGTACCCCCAAAATGGCTGGAAAATCGGTCTTGAGAAAGACTAATTGATCACGAATTTCTCAGCAATGATGGCACTTTGGTTAATGCCTTTCACCCTGTGACCAGAACTCGATTCTTGCAATACCCTGACTGGATCTCTGTAGCGCGAACAGTTTAGAACTGAAATACTCAGGTTAATAATACTTGAGAATTATTTCAGACTGAATTTCATATTATTCTAGAACCAATTTCTATTATCATATTTCAGAGGATGGTTTTGAAATAAAATTGAAACACTGCTCGTCCTTCAAGACAAGCATGCATTAAGTCATCGCGAAAATATTCCGTGCACTTAAATTGGGTAATACTCGTTACCAATCCCCGTTGACTCGATAGCTCAACGGGTAGAGGGGCAGTCTACAAATCCTCGAATCTCGCTCGAGACAACGCATTTTTTTTGTTCTCTGCAGCGTCAGAATAACTTGATAATTAAGGAACTGCCCTTATACCAGCCCTTCCAAATGACGGATGTCCCGAACGAGATGTCCAGTCATAATTACAACATTTGTTAAATTATGAATTTATGACATTACATTCCTTATCTGTCGTAATTCTATTTAAAACCTGCGTTGTCATTTTGTCGACAGCTAGATTACCCGGACAAAACCCAGGATTTTCGGCCAAGCTGTTAGGACTGCTCGACCCGAGGCTTTCTCTATATTAATTCCCATTTAATTGCACTGAGCAATATGGAATTTAAAACATTTTGTGTGCTAGAATGATAGGAAGGATACAGTCTGTAATAAAGAAAGTTTTTGTATTGGACTTTGACGCACAGACAAAGCGAAAACAAAACGACGGAAGTAAACTTTTTCCCCTAATTCATTTTGTCTCATGCATAGATAGTGCTTACGTGATGAACCATCAGTTTTATTGTAGCCATTAGTGAATTCATTTAGAAGGGTAAAAACTGGTTTACACTATCAAAGTTTCTGTGATCACGGTAGGAATTCAGTTGCACAATTCTACGTTTTGAAGGATTTGCAAGAAATGTGAGGGAACTGTGTCCGAGTCAATTTCCTCAAACATTTCTTACAAATTCTTAAAAACTTAAAATGTACCGATGCAAAATTCCTACTGTGATCACAGAAACTTTAATACCAGCCTTAACATGCAAGTATTTCAACCTCACAATAAACAATGAAAGCAAAGGTTTGATCCGGTATTCTGCATGGGATGGATTGTCCTTAATTATATTTAAAGGATTACATAATCAAAGTACTTGAAAGCCATGACGAGAACTTTGACCATTTCTTGAGACGTTCTAGTTATATTTTGAGGTACTTTCATCCTGTGGTCCCTCAGTATATTGGGTCATTGCATGCTTAAGGCCGGATCAAAACGAGGCTGAGAGTACATGAGAGTTGGCAGTCACGCGAGCTTGGTTAGCTGTTCTTAATGCTTTCCCAACACTATCATGTATTCTATTGAAGTTGTAACATTCATCAAACCTTTATTTTGTCTAGAGCTTCGGAAATATCCCCTTTCATCAACTCCCATCCTCATTTGACCCAGAGGCTTTACTCTGGAACATTTTTCGACATATATCATCCCCGTATTGCCAGACGAAGTAACTAGAATAGTGCGAACCATATAAAAAATCGAGCCTGATATTTCCCTGATGGTTTTTCAAACGCCGTATACATTTAGACACACATATCCATTATCCATCTATGCAGATGCCCTCGTTTTTATAATTGATTACTTTGCCTAGTTTGTCCAGCCGGATCATCCACGTCTATTACGGAACTTAACAGAAACGTCAAGCATTGGGCATAACAGGAAAGTAAACTATACGCAAATCTATAGAACTAATAAACTCTTATGCTAAAAAGATAAACAATACATATATCAATGAACAACACTTGTGCAAATTTGGATTAGTTATGAACCAAAAAGTAAGAATCTTTAGCCTGGGGTTATGATAGGTAATTGTATTTTTTACGATTGGCTTGTTTGTCCATCTTAGAGCATCTTCATTAAGTAATTATCAATGTTTTTCGTGATTCATATAGCTAGTGATGCAATAAAATTAGCGTGCAATAATTGCCTAATTAGCAGTTCATTGACTAATTCGAGCACGCATGTGTATTTACGTACATACAGTCCGTAATTAGTCTCCTAATTTCCGTTACCTTACCAAATAAAGAATATTTCATTTGATATATTCCAATCAACTCGTCGCTTCTTTTTTTAGTATATGGGAACTGCAGGTAATTACACATAAGTCCTAAACAAGCCTAATTGCTCGAGTAACTCTGCTTCCTTGACAGCAACTGATTAATGTCTGTTGTTTTTTTCGCCTTAAGGATTCTCCTTTTTTGTTTAGATTTAATCGCGGGCACCTGTACTAATGAGAAAACTTTTTGCATTTGAAGTGCCATATTATTTGATGTTTACCAATGATAGTGTCGACTTATGCTTCACTCTGTGAGGTGGTTGGTCGGTAAACCGTATTATCCCCATATCATTTTTGCTGCGCACTTATTGTTGAATGTCGTGATATTTGCTAACACACTTGTGATGTGTTGTAAATAAGGCTTCTTCTCTATGCAAATGCTATGAAATCAGTGAAGCGAAGTCTGTATACGTAGTCATAAGAACAGCCTGCGTTGCCCTGACTCCACACAGTCAGACGTCACGGACAAGAAGGCGAGCTGTTTTATAAAGGCGACGTGGTCAAACTCGCAAATTCCAGCTCCTTTGGAAAGCGTTATTCTCCGTCAATTTTTACTGTGAAGAAGCCTTTTCTATAGGTAAGTTTTATCACTGTGTTAAGCTTTTTATCTTCATATTGTGGTTAGAAACTGCAGATTTTTTACAGCGAGTATCAGTCATAAGCAAGCTAGTGAATGGCGGGCTAATTATAACGGAATCCACACCATTGCTACATTAGCGAGCCAGCTGGCTTCTAAAAACAATTAGAACTAATTTTCATTCCAGTTAGTTAACTAATGAGGCTATAAATTGGGAAGAGAAAACGAAACTTGGAACGGTGTATTCGAAACAAAGTTTCAAATCGGTTATACATTTGTGAAACGTTTCAATGAATGACTATATAAGACAACTCGTGCTAGCTTAATCCCGTGTAAATATGACTTATTAATGTTTAATAGTCGCACATCAGTCAATATTTACTTATGTTGTTATTCCTCGCTTTCGAAATTGATTTTAGAACATGCGAATAAACAAAAGCGACACCAAACGAGTTATACTGTTACAGAATATAAATGAAATTGCGTGTGACGAGCCTTGTTGCTAAACACGCAACGTTAACTCTGTTTTTTGATCTATTGATCATCGGATCGTTTCGACAAACAATTTTACAAGCCCAAACAGAACTATTGAAACATTTTGGAAACAAATCGAATCCTTATTTGCTCTTACTCAAAGCGTGCAAAACGGTTAGGTTTTTGAAAGCGCTCGCGATCGCTCATTGTTCGAAAGAAATCACGCAAGACATTTTTGCGACTATGAAGAAATGCTTTTCTCAGTATCTGTTTGAGACTAAGGACTTATTTTTAAAACGGGCAGTATGGGGTAATGTTTGTCATTCATTCTGGCAGAGTTTGCTTGTTGATTTAAGATTTGAGGGTAAAAGACTTGCCCGTTCTGGTTCGTTTGATCCTTCCACATATGGAAAAAGAACCTTTGGTTCGGGGTAAATAAATTCATCATTCAAGTCATAGCGACGTCGGTTGTCCTTAACGACAACCACTTCTCGCACGCTGATTGGTCGAGCTGCGCTTCACGTAACCATAACAACGTACTATATCTGGTCCACGCGCGTGGAATTTCACATATACACGCGGTTTCAACACTTATCACTTTCGATAATATGTCAAGCGATTTGTAAAGTCTCGAAGAATTGCAGCCAAAATTCTTGGCTATTTCCATCGCCAGCTCGCTCGGTCCTCAATGAAGAAAAGTATCCCTTCCTGACGGCAATAATGTGTAAGTAGAGTATCCTCTGAGGGCACGATAAGCCCAAAATATCAAGCTCTTTGCTCAGTGTCGTCATTTATTCCAAGGCCATATGATCTCTGTGTTCTCAAATTATAAAGTATCAGTCGACAATAGCACGAGTTAAAGGGATTCTTTTGTGTCAATTTGTTGTAGACAGTATTTCTTGGCATCTGTGGGATCGTTTGGACATCCATCTATTGAGGATTTTATTGAAATAACCTAAACAGTAAGTTTACGTAAAAAAAATTGGTGCCACGGAGCTATACGCGTTCCTCAAAAGCGCGCATTGACCCGCGAACCGCAATTTTGATCTCTGATAACAAAGCAAGGCGCACGTTTTAAGACTTTTCCTTGCAAATTCACCTTACACTCCTTTTAAATTTAGTATTTATAACATTCTTGCTTCTTCAAAAAATGAGGCATTTCTAGGAGAAGTTAGAGCTAAAGCTTTAATATCATTTGGCTTGAGCTTTAATATCAAAACAGTTGTCAAATGGAGTCATTCGAAGCGGTGTAGTTTATTATATATTTAGCACACGGTAGGCGTTCCAAGCGAAGATATACTGCTTTACAGAATAAAACTACAGCGCACTGAATTCTAACTTTGTGTTTAGCGTATTTTAGAACGAGACTGACACACATTGTTCACGAAATCTCAGCGAAATGCAAG